TGGGAATTTTATAATCAAAGTTAAGCTTACACTTTGTTTCCAGATAATTCCATCAATCTTTCAGAATCTAAAAAATTATTTGAAATTCTTTGACAGGGAACAGCCTCTGAAAATGGAAGATTCTAAGTTATTTGGGCTGCAAGTAACTCACTCTTGAGGTGCAGATAACAAACCACACAAACCCAGAGACAGTTCAGCTCCTGTAAAGACTCCAGCTTTACAAACAGACAGGAACCAGTGAATAACCTTTCAGAATAAATTGATTCAAAAGACAATAGCTGAAGTGGTTGTCAGAGGCTTCATCAAAGTAGATAAAATACTATGATCAGGACAAATGTAGTTGTTCAGCAACAGCCAACCATCCATGGGCCATGCTTCACTTCCAGCTCTCTGTGGCTTTTGTAAGTCTTGTTCTTCTCTCAGAGAGTTTTGTTATGGAATCTCCCTCTCAGTATCCACTTCATCATCACCACAAGGTTACTCAGTACCAGAAAGATCTCTTTATGGGAATCTGGGACACTGGAAAGCTAACAGAGATTTTACTGTTGAATAGCATTATTCATATTTGTTCAAAGAAAGGGGGAGCTGAAACTTCACTTTTGATAATTGACCATTACTAGATTTCTTATCTTCTGTAATTCATCTTGCAAACTGATCTGTATAACAGATCAGTATAACAGGTGTGATAATCTTGTTACCTAGCTTTAGTTCCTCTGTCCAGACCGCAAATTGCCAGCTCTGAGTTGGTAGATGATTATTCAACCTAACCAAAGCCATGAATCCAGAAATTGAGTTACTTGTTTCTCGTGAGCATGGTTACCACGTCCAACAAGATACTGCTTTGTGTGCTGAATCCCTGGGATTTGCCTTGGGTTAAGGGGTAGCCTGGGAAATCTTTGATCAACTCCATTTGATCCCTGCACTGATGACTTGCTGAAGTTAATGTTTATGTAAAGTTGGGTGGGTCAAGGAAAAGGTTTTATGGCTTAGGCTTAGGGAATAAAGTGAGAACTCAGAATTAGAAAAATGAGCAATTACCCCTATTTTTTCCTATCTCTTTTCTTCTTGTTTTTCATATTGGATTATTTCTGTTGTTTTATCTTTAGTTCCACTGACAGCTTTTTAGATGATCACCATTCTGCTGCTAATTCTTCTTACATTTTAATTTTTAACATTTTTTATTCTAAAATGTCTACTTGTTTCTTTTTATAATTTCTCTTTCACTGCAAAAATACTATTATTTTAATAATTAGCATATTTTTTCTTTGTCACTGAACATATATATAGCCACCTTAGACTGCCATAAAGATATACCATGGACTGGGTAGCTCAAACAATACAAAAATATTTTTCATGGCTGTGGAGCCTGGAAAGTCCAAGATAAAGGTGTCAGCTGATTTGCTTTCTGGTGAAAGTTCTCTTCTTTGCTTGCAGAGGGCTACCTTATCTGTGTCCTCAGAGAAAGAGAAAGAGAGCACATTCTCTGATGTCTCATATAAAGACACTTATTCTATCATATCAGAGTCTGATCCTTCTAATCTTTAATTATTTTTTAATACCTTATCTCCCATACAGTTGCATTGGGGTTTACAGTTTCAACATATGACACAAATAAGTCTACAGCAAATTAAAACCTTATTTCAAAAAGAAAAGTTTGTGAATTGCTTTAGACATTTTGAATTGAAATGAACAAAGGACAGAGCTCTCGAATGAAACACGAAAGATAGAAAATTATTGTAGATAGATTTATAATCCTCGACATCAGTATGACTCAGATCTGAGGATAGGGGGTGAAATCTCTGATAGAGAAGTCACAGATCAATATAAAGGATTAAGAGAGCAAAGATAAAACTATGTGTAAACTCTCACAGAAAGTGAAGAAGGAGTAAGTCAGCAAATAGAACAAATTATTGTAGAGATAGGAAGAGAGGCAGGAACATAAAATAGCATCAAAGAAGGTAAGAATTAGTCAATACAGTTAAATCAAATAGAAAGGTCTTGAAAATGCCATTGCCAAAAGGTTCAGGATTTTTAAATTAGGAAATCATTATTGATTTAAAGGAAGCAATCTCGGTAAAGTGATTGGAAAAAATTATTGTATAAGAGGCTAAGGAAAATACAGATGGCAGTATTTGGAGCATAAATGGAAATAATTTACCAAAGGAACCACTAAAATGCTCAAAATATTCCCAAGAGCAAATTGAATTTAGACCTGCTCAAGTAACTATTCCTCCCATCTAACAGATTCATTCTTTCCAAAGACTTCATTGTGCACCAACTTTATAAGCAAAGTTTATAATTTTATAGAAGTTTATAATTTCTTATACACTAGAAATAAAGCAGATAGTCCCTGACCTCATGCAATAGCTCTAACTCTTCTGCCCTCCACCAAGGCTTTACAACTGTGCACTAAGATTTTTCTTGAGCAGATGTTTATTGGAACCTGTTCTTAATAGGCCGTCCTCCTTATTCATGTCTAAATTTTGGGAACACGAGGATTATCAGGTGATTTTTCACCCTTGCTAATTTTAGGTAGAGGTCTAAAAAAACTATAGTCCATAGTTATTCTCACAGGTGTGAGGTGATATCTCATTCTTGTTTTGATTTGCATTACATAACAAGTGATGATGAATTTTTTTTCATGTGCCTATAGGCCACCTACATGTCTTCTTTGGAGTAGTATAGATCTTTTTAATCCAATGCAATATCACATTATGGATGAGAGCATTGTGTCTGTAGATACCTGATTCCAAATTAAAATTAGTTTTTAATTTCTGATGAATATCTTTCCTTATGTGATGTTAGTTTTGACTGGTATTAGTTGGCATAGTATTCTAGTCACGTCCATAATTGCTTATAGTTTCAATGTAAAGAAAAGGAAAAGAGATGTCTTTGATTTTGCCAACTGACCGTACTAGGAGCAAGATGGAATGCCTGGCTTCCAGCAAACTTGTATGTGTTTGCCTACATCCTGGTCATTTGTTATAAATAATACCATGCTATATAGTCCTTACCCTGATGCTGGAAAGAAGAGACATATAGAAAAATATGTAGAATAAGAAAGTAAAGAACCAGAAAAACCCCTGGTGGTAAAAAGGGTTACGTTTCACCACTCTGAAGTTATTGGCTGCCACTATAGCATAAGTTCTATCCCCTGCTCCCGAGGAGGTGACTCACATGATGCCACAGACCTCTCCTGTCTCGCCTGCTGCTCCTCAGCAGTGTACTTACTTCACTGCTCTGCCTGTTCTGTTCTGCACTCTGTCTTTGGTGAATCATCTCACCCTGCCCGCCACCTCTGACTGCACCCCAGATCCTGTGTGCAGAAATAAAATAAATCTTTTTAAAAATTATACCAACCCCAGTTTTATAGCATTGCAGTAGTGAAATTATCTGTTAATAGGGTACTAATACAAGATTCCAATCTCAAAAACTTAAGGGGTCCTATGACCAGTTTGCTACTAGAAACTCCCAGAGGAAATGAGATTAATGCTACACTGTTATTCTGAAGTTAACCAATACCTGTGCAGTTACATCACATTTTTAAAAACTCTGAAAAGGCACAGCAGACAGTGAACTGAAACTGCCATTACTTTACATTCTTGGTTTGAGTAGATTAAGGAGAGATCATGAGAGAAAGAAGCAAACTAGTAGCTAATAGAATGTGGAAAGAAATACGGATTTTAGAAGAGAAATTGCTAGATCTTTAGGTTCCCCAATAAACATTGATTGAAATGAATGAATAAAATGAGAGTGAAACATACTGGAAAATCATTGGATGGAAGCACAGATTTCTTCTGGGAATTACCTGTTGTACAAAATCAGGTATTAAATTATTGATGTGTTTATTTTAGTTGAGGCATATTTTCGTGGATACAATGACCATGGAAAAGGTGAAAAAAAAAAAGGAGTGCTATTTCCTCATAAAGAGAGGAGAGTTTGTTCCTTTTTCCTTTCTTCCCATGCTTCATTATACCTCATGAATTTTTATCAGAAGTGACCTAAATTTCTAAGGAAAGCTTGGCCTTTCAAAACTCATCTTATTTTTGTTTGCACTTCTAAGGATCCCATGGTTATGCCAGAAAGTTAACCTACTTAGGCTGATTTAGGAAGTCTTTCTTTTGTCTTCAACTTGACTTGCCTCTATAACTTCACCTCCATTCCAATCAGTCTGAGTAATGGAATGGACTGAAAGCTACCTAGAACCGCTGAGTAGCTTGTTTGGAGATTTTATTGTAGAACTATCGTTATACACCTAATGATCTGTGACTAAATTTATGATTTTCTGAACATCTTAGTGAGGTAAAATTCAATATAAACAAAATCCACACGTTTAAATTGTACAGCTCAATTCATGTTAGCAGTTGTGTACAGATGTACTGCCATCATTTTACAATCCATTTTGCAACACTTTCTACATGCAAAAAATTCCCTTCTTTGTTTTTAGAGTCACTCTCCACTCCCACCTACAGGCCCAGGCACCTCTGACCTGATTTCTGTAGGTACAGTTACCTTAGCTTTTTATGGCAACTTCATCTGAATGGAATTGGAATAACTTTTATTTTTAACTTAGAAGCTAAGTTGACCACATTAAAATAGTCAAAGATCAACTAAACAACAGCAGAGTAAATCAATAGAGAGCTTGACTTATTTCGGTTCTAAGATTTTATTCTATGCCTCTTTGCTGACCACCATTTTTTTTCTTGAACTACGCATTACATATTGCTTCTTCAAGACCTATGGATCAATTTTCTTCATGCTTCACTTTCTATATAGTGCACATTAATATGACATTTTCTCCAGAACCACAAGCATTTGTGTTCAAGTACCTAATGAGTCCTCAAAAATTTGAAGATTGGTGAATGGAAAGAAAATTGATTAATTCATAAATATAGGTCTTGGGAAACTGGTTTATATAATAACTTCTCACGATGTAATAATTAATAAGTTGCATGTATTTGGAATAGAATTTTACCTTTGTGTGTGTGTGTTTTTAACAGAAGAAATGTGAAACATACTGTAGCAAGGAATAAGGCATTGCAGTGGGCTAAGTCTTATGCTTTACCAGAGTTTCCCTATGATGTCAAATGCATGTTAGCAGAACGAAAGTGCCCTGATCACAGCATGAGGATAAGAATCATCGAGTTTCTCCAGGCTGACATGACCAAGTATCTGGAAGGCTCTCTGTGAGTAATAATGGGGCTTACTTGCTGCTTGGTATGAAGTCCAGTACTGTCTACTCATATAACATCAGTTTTGTGACATAGAGTTGAATGTCTACATGGCTAGATAGAACAAATGAAGGGAAGTAACTAAAATATATACTGTGATATATGAATCACATTAAATATAAGTTAAAATAAATGCTTATAACTTTGAAAAGTAAGGATATAGTTTCAAAGAATCGAGTGCAATTGGGATGCATCTTTAAGGAATGCATGTGAGGCGCTTGCCTTGAAAATCTCCTTGTGCTGAACAGGTATCCCACCACCCAGCAGTACAACGACGTGGTCAACGCGCTGCTGCAGGCCCACCCTTTCCTGGACGAGGATGGCTGTGGCTTTGTAAGTGTACCCCGGGCCATCTGTGCATCTCAGCCCACCTTTAATAATGACTTTGCATTGTCCAGTAATTTTATCACTCATTCCCCTTTCCTCACTCTCTCTAACTTCTTTTGCTTTAATAGGCTTCTTATTTAGAGCAGTGTCAAGTTCTTAGTAAAATCGAGAGGAAGGTACAGAGTACAGAAGCTGCTCCCACATAGGCGTAGCCTTCACCTCCTTCTCCCTTATTATTGGCCCCACCAGTGTGATCATTTGTTACAATTGATGACCCTCTATGGTCATATAATCACCCAAAGTCTATAGTTTACATGAGGGTTTGCTCTTAGTATTGTACCTCCTATGGGTTTAGACAAATGTATCCATTTGTTTTTTTAAAGATTTAATTTATGCATACAAGAGCTGGGGTGTCGGCTGGATGTGGGGGTGCAGGGGTGGTGGTGGGAGGATTTACCAGAGACAGAGTGGGGAGCAGAACAAGCAGATCTACTGAAATACACTGCTGAGGGGAGCGGTAGGCCAGACAGGAGAGACCTGCTGCGCCATGTGGGTCAGCTCCCTGGCCGGGGGTCAAACTTGTGCTGCAGTGGCTGCTGATAGCGTCATAGGCCTGTATCCATTATTATCATATCCTGTGGAGTTTATTCACTGCCCTAAAACTCCTCTGTGTTCTGTCAGCTTATCTCTGCCTTGTGCCTTTCGTGTCCTCTTGTGTCTCTGTCATTGTCTGTCTTCTTCTTATTCAAAGCTGTTTGAAGGCTCATGTATAATGACGAGACTTTAGGAAGTACCTTTATGAGAACAACCATAGAAAGAGATGGGCATGCGGTGTCCACTTCAGTGCTGTCATCAGTGGACCATTTCTTGCCTTCAGTTTAGGCCCAGAGACTTGTCTGTCTCTAAGACGCCTCAACCTCCAGCCTCACCCATTCTCTTGCCTCTGCTCTGTCCTGATAAAAACAGTCCTAGAGATAATCTGAACCAGCCATTCTCAATGCTGGCTGTATATTAAGACCCTCAGAGATGCTGATCTAATTGAGCTAAAGCAGGGACACTAATATTTTAAGAAGTTCCCCAAATGATTCTGAAGTACCATCTGTGTTGAGAAATGCTGTTCTAGATATTTCAGTACAAATTTTGTTATCTTGACTGCCTATTTCTTGGCTTTAAAGCCCTGCTCAACAATGTAAATATATTTAATAGAACTGAGCTGTACAGTTAAACATAATTAAGTTGGTAAAAATGGAGCATTGGGCATTGGAACTATAGGATCTAAGGAACAATTAGGAAGAACCACAACTACATGTACATAATGGCAGACTGCCTGGCACACACATACATGTTAGAGCCACATCTACAGGTGGTAGATGGTTTTGTACCTTTTCATCTTGGAAATCTGTGTTTTTTGTGAAAATATAGAATGTAAGCAGTAAGGTCCATTTTGAACAACCAAGGATCCGTGCTGATATCTGTCATAGGACATCAGATGATCACAGGCCTATTTTATGTTTGTAATTTTCTCCACAGCCCTTCTACTTAGAAAACTATGGAGAAGGGAAATGATTATTCAATGGCACAAATATGTGCTACTGAGGTGTCTGTGTAATGAACTCGAGGTGTCAGGCATGTAGCAGGTGCTCAGTTAATACTAGTTGACTGCAGACTCATGTGGGCGACTGAATTTGATTTGTCATTTTCTGTATCTGTAAGACAATAAATAAGGGAAAAAGGGAGAAGCTGGGAAGAAGAAATTGACAATTTAGAAATGTCCTTGCTATTAATTGCTATAATACCTCCCCCTCAACCAGCAAGTCTAGAACTTCAGAGCAACAGGATCCATAAGGGAGAAAAAGCATTTGCACTATTTCACAGCTCGTGGCTAAGAAGAGAAAACACCATCGTTTTTTTCTGTGCTGTTGTAGAACAGTGTTGGTGGGGTCTAGAGTCACCAGCCTGTGGGAGGTGGCGAAGTGTTTCTCACATAGTCAGGAGCCTTGTCAGTGCTGATGCGAGTCCTCCAAACTCACGCTTCAGCTCCTCACCAGGGCTGCCGAAGGGTTTTATTAGAAATAGTTTTCAAGTTATCTTCCACAAGCAGCTATTCACTTGAGTCTTTGTGGAAGGGTTTCATGAAAAGTTGTTGACAAATATCTTCTGGGAGTAGGTAGTCTTCAAAAACTTGACAGAACTGAATTTATTGTTCCATTTCATAGTTTAGGAAACTCATATGAAGAGGTTACTTGTTAAGGATTTTTTGGCTAATAGCGTTTTAGCCAAACTGAGATCTGGAGGCAGAGAAGAGCTAACTGGATAACAGCAGGATGGGACAAAAGAGGGAGAGAACTTTTCAGGCCCAAAGCAAAAGCCCAGCTAAGGGAGGCAGTTTTGGGGACATCTTGAGAAAGAAGCCCACACGTAGTCCGTGTCTCTGCTCTCCCAAACAATTTACAAGTCAGACATACTCTTCCAGAGCTGAAATCTGACCATTGACCCTTTCAATGTGGTCTGGAAACGTTCTTAATGTGAGTCTTCAGCCAAGTTATCTAAAAAGCTTTAAGAATACAGACATCTGGGTTCCATTAGACCTGCTAAATCAAAATCTCTTAAGCCTAAACCAGCAAAATGAGCATCACCTGGAAACTCATAAGAAATGAATATTCTTAGCTCTAACCTTGACCTACTGATTCAGGGACTCTGAGGGTGGGGTTTAGTGAATTATTTGCAAACCATTGCTTTAGCAGAAGGTCCAAAGGTAAATTCCCAGTGAGACTCTGAGGTAGCCTTGTTACAGACACATTTAGAAAGCTCTTTGGCAATCCTTCTGGATTGGTCTGGCTTCTCTTCTGCCTTCTTTTCTATCCATTCTTGACCATTCCATAACCTGAACTCTGTATACCACCTAAGCACAGATCTTGACAGTTCTCTTTATAGTAACAATTCCCTTTTATCCATTACCTAAGCCTCTTTATCTGTCTGTCCACCCCCTCACCTAGCAATTCCCAATGCCATCTCAATCCCCTTCACCCATTTCCCTAATCCTTAAACCTAAGCCTCAATTTAAAGGCACTTCTTTTTTTCTTTTTAAAGATTATTTATGTATGCATACAGACCTGGGGTACAAGCCAGAGGTACAGGAGCGGTAAGAGGATTTACCAGAGACAGAGTGGGGAGCAGAACAAGCAGGTTAACAAAATATATGGCTGAAGGGAGCAATGGGCAAGACAGGAGAAGTCTGCTGCTGTGCCATGTGGGTCACCTCTGGGGCCTAGTAGTGCTGTCTTCATACTGCTGTGCTGTAATTCATTGTACCACTAAGGCACTGTTACAGGGCAAGGAGACAGGGGCACCCCTGAGCCCCCAAACCTGCCTGCTCTAAATAGGTTCTGCCATCCACCACATCAAGATCAAACATATAAGACTTTGATGGAAAGGAACTTTAATACAGTGAGTATACAGCCCAGAAGACAACGAATATAATTTTAAATCAAACACCTGAAGTTACCCATCTCCTCGTGGGCAAAAGTCCACCCAAAGGGATTGCTCTAAAGCAAGGTCTGAAAGCCCGCTGCAAGATTAAAGCATCTTCTGGTCGGACCCAAAGGGTCAGAAATGGCCAGACAAGTCTGGGAGTAAAAAAGCACAATCAAAATTAATATAAACACGGCCATAGTCACCTCCTCATGGGTCTCTCACCCACATCTCTTTCAACCAGTCAGGGCCAAGAAAACAAGCATGGTTTCTTCACATGTCTCCCTTTGCTCCATGTGGCTTCCTCAGGTCTCCTGGCTCTCCATCCTACTTCCTTCTTCAGATTCCTCTGCTTCTCAGTTCTACCCTCCTCCTGGGTGGGGCATGGAACCTGGAACTTCCCCTTTTCCTAGGCCCATCCTGAAACAGCACTTCTTACAGGAAGGCTTCTGTGGCCTAATACAATGTAAAACAAGGCTCTCTCTGTTCTCCTCTTTTAGCACTTTTTACTCAATATTAAAATTACTTGGGCCTCTAAGACTAAAAACCAAGTCTGTATGTACCCTCCACCCTCCCAGGCTAAAAACCTGATTTTTTTCTATGTTTGAAACAATATGTACTCCCACAGATATTTAGGTAGTAAAAGGCCAAAAGTGAATGGCAAAAAATGACAGAAAAAAAAATGTTTAAAGATGTGACAGATGTGTCATGATATATGTATTAGCCACTATCAGTTATTTTCTAGAACCTGAGGAAAGTGAAATGGTGTTGTGGAAAGAGCAGAGTATAAGTGAAAATATCCAGTTTGGGGAATTAGAAAATCTAGATTCAAGAGCCAGCAGGTTTACTCAATAGCTATGACTTCAGGAAAGTATTTTTATTTCTCTGACTCTGTTTTCTTAGTTATAATTTAGGGGGTTGTATTTTTACAGATTTATCACAAAGCTATTGTGATTCTAAATGGAAGGTAAATAGGTTATTTATTTACTATGATGTGAAAGTAATTTAAAGACTGGGAGTGATAGACGAAGATTTTATTGTTTGTAGAGGATTAGCCAGTCTCCTTGAAGATTAACTGTCCTGCTTTGTTATATTACAGTTTTTGTGGAAACGAGCCCTCAAAGATCGCTTTAAATACGTCCGAAGACCCATAGAAGATGATGAACAAGTGATGAGAAATAAGTGTAAATTTGGACACCGAAGAGGCCAAACAAGGAAATCTCCTGCTGATGCAAGATTTGATGAAATTAAAATTGCCCACATAAAAGTAAGATTAAATCTTTAATTGTTCTGACAACTTATTGATAGGTTGATTAAAAAAAAAATAATGACATCTAAAATCATTAAAACAAAATAAGTTACCCTTTTGAAGATTTCAGTCTGTGATCAGAAACCAAGAAAATCTATAGTTTGCATGATTATTAACAAGGTGAATGAGATTGTTTTCTAAAGAAGACATTCCAAAACAGTTTGAGCAGAGTCAATTGTGGAACATCCTAAGTTTGTACTTTACAACTGTCAGAAAACACAGGAGGAACCATTAAATTGTGTGTCTTTGAATAAATTTTTTGTTTCACTTCTAAAATGCATTCTATGTTCTGGCTGTTCTTTGTGGCATCCCCAGCCCTCCTTATCTTGGGAATATTATCTTGGTGCCCAGAGTTCCTGCTTGTCAACAAGGTGTAGTGTCTTGAAAAGGGCTTCTCCTCAAGGGTAAAAGTTCCAGTCTGAGGAACACACAGGGAAACCAGTATCTGCTCAGAACAGCTGGCAGCTATTAGAATGGAGATGACATGCAAATACTGGCAAGAATAATGTAGCCCCCAGGCAAGAGCCCTGGTCATTCCACCCTCTCTTGACACCCTTAATCCTATCACCTTTGTCCTCAACATAAATACAAGTCTGCATGTGGATGGCTACACTTCCGGTGTATCCTTCTAGGCTTCTCTCTGCTCCCCTGGACTCTGAGAACCCTTACCCTCATCCTGCACTGCTCACCCTCCAGACAACAGTCTTATTGCTACAATGTTTGCCATGCTTACCCTGTAGGGGTTAGTAGCCTCCAGCCTTGTGCTTTCAGGAAGGAAGGTCATCTACATTCTTGAAACAAAACTCTACCCTGCCCATTCTTTACTCAGAAGGTGCCCCACACCAGCCCAGAGGGAGCCCCAAGGAACTGCAGGCTGAGAGCATACATAATGTCTGGAAATCCCTCCCTCAGCAACAGGTTTGCTGTATATAATATCCACCTGGGTCCTAATTATCTCAGCTCCTAATTATCTCAGTCCCACAACTGCCTCAGTTCTCAAATACCCTCAGAAACAAAAATACACCCTCCTCTTAGAAGTAGATTGAACGACTTAGGTAGCAATGTCCAAATTAGCAGAATAGAAGTTAAATCTCACATTCCCCCACTTCTTTGTCCCTCAATCTAGTATGAATGCAGTAGTCCCCCTTAATTCACAGGGGCTACGCTCTAAGACACCCAGTGGGTCTGCAATTACCAGTGGTGCTGAGTCCTACGGAGAGGAAAATGCTGGGCAGGCAGGAAGCTGGAAAACATTTTTTTTTCTGTCAAATTTGGGAAGGGGCTTGGCTAAATTGGAGGAAGAGTTTGGGAACATGTAAAGGAGGACAAGTTACTTTCATTTGTTTCTGTTGTTTTTCCTTAGTGGTTAGGAGGAATGAATCAGTTATTTGACGGTAAATGACTGGATGAAGGAAGATGGGTTTCTTGGGCTTCAGGGTATGGTATCCAGGCAGATGCAGGGTATGAGTCTGAGCAAAGCCCACCCCACAGGTCTTTTGTCCCAAACCCTCCTCCTATCCCAATGTCCTAGGCCAGTTGAGCAACGCTTCATCTCACTATGTTACGGGGCAGGGAGAGAGGGGCACCCCTGAGCCCCCAAACCTGCCTGCTCTAAATAGGTTCTGCCATCTGCCATATCAAGATAAGACATAAGTGCTTTAATGGAAAGGAACTTTAATACA